CATCTGCTGCACGCGAGTCATCATCTGCTGTACGCGAGTCGTCATCTCTCTCGAGTCGTTGTTCAGCTCGTTTCAGCCTTGCCTCGGCTTCTTTGATCACACTCCGCTGACCTTGATGTCGCCGTCGTTCAAGTAAGTTGGCTTTCAAGCTGCGTGATTCGCCGCAATGGCGATTACTCGTTTCCACCAGCGAGTCGTGAAAAATATGTTACGACTCCTTGGTTTCATCTTCGCTGTCCGAACTCCGCGAAACGAGGAGTAAAGGCACAGCCAAACTGATTCCATTTTGTCTAATGGATTCCCCTGCCAGCACTGAACGACAGCTGCTAGCAAGTCCAGTCGACTTTCTTTAGCCACGAGACTCGCATCGGACAGCGGACTTCTGAAAGAATGCATGGTCATCAGCATTCGATTCTGGGCTTTGCGCAGGTTGAACAAGATCTTGAGTTCAGAATTATTTTCATTGAGCCGTGCGATAAGAGCAGCTCCTTGCTCACTCGCTCCTTGTGTTGGCTCGCTGCTCCGTTTCATCGCTCTCTATCACTCTCCAACTTACTCAGTGATAAAAGTGACAGAGAGGCCAAGCAACGCAATATCCCCTCGGAGAAGTGGTATTTCAGTTTCGATCGCCATGACTGTCATCACCTATGTTTCCACAGCACAACCATCGATTCCGCTAGGCTTGTTGTGAAAGGTCGCTTTCCTTGCATCGTACATCTGTCGTGGCATGCCAGGGAAGGCCAAGAAAGTGATTGCGACTCATTTCACGGCAGTTTGTGCCCAAATCAGCCCCTCAAAATTCCATCACGAAGTTTTTGTTAACGGAGGAAGTAGGACCCATCCTGTTTAGCATGTACACCCGTGATGTCCCTGCCATAGCCCATCCTGCTCCATCTCTGCAATTTGCCGACGACATTTGGGCAGAAGATTGGAGCACTGTGGCGGTCCCGCAGATGTCTCTGCCTCAGTAGTCGCATCCGGCCAGTATGTGAGGTCTATCATCATGCCTGACCTCCTATACGGGCCTAACGCCTTTTCTTTCTCCCTCAAGGTTTCACAGCTTGAGCGCCTTCAGGTCCTGCAGAACCGAGCGGCGAGAGCGGTATACGGTCCTGAGAGCAGCAGTATATAGGTATGCACATTCACATGTCTGAAGTGAAGGTTGGCGCTGCCTTCAGGGTAAATGCAGCACATTGCTTACCGATATGTTCAGTCCTCTTAATGCCGGCCGTGCTACACGTAGTCAGGGAAATCGAGCACTTAAATTTCCAGTCACTAAGACATCCGCTGGCACACATTCTGCCTCATTCCAATGTGTATCACTGTGGAACAGGCTCCAGCCCGACATCAGGAAAATCCCACAGTACCACCGATTCATGCGATCCCTCCCAGCACATGCTGCTTTTCAGTAACGCCACTGCCCGCTTTATTTTTATTTCCTTTACTGGCCTAACTGGCTTTTACAATGACGTAATACTTTACTACCCACTCTACTCAGTGTCATTACCATCATTGGCCTTTTATAATTTATTCTTCTTTTTAGTCGATATCATGTAATTAGGCAAATTTGCCTGTTTGTTCTTCGACTCTAAATAAACAAAAACAAAAAAAAAACAAGGTTTGTGGTTTTCAATTTAAAAAAAATCATTTTGAGTACGGGAAATCCTCAGCACCGTGCGACGGTTGAGCTCGGGTAAATCTTTTCGCCGCAAGAGAGAGAGTGTTGCAACTCTTTTCCCCTGCAGGATAGGAAATCAAGCTTGAAGTGCCGGTTTTTATACCCGGGTACCCTATAGCATGTAACTGTATTTCAAACAACGCCCGTGGTTCTCCTGTGAGCTTGGACAATAAGATCAGTCTGGTGGTGGTATTTCTTGGGTTCCTACGGTGCCGCTGGGACATCTCGCTATCTGTTTTGATTTATGGCAATGAAAAAACAACAAGTTGTGCAGCCATTGTTCAAAATAAGACACTATCGCCACGCTTACCAGTGGATTCCGTCACGCAACGAGGAAAAACAACAGTAAAGTCAAAAATACAGGGAGGGGGTAACTCGCAAACAGCCAATAACGTACAGTAGCTTCCCTTCTCACCCTCGTCGTCATCAGGGAGTAGTACAATTGTTGTTGTTGTATACTTTATTTATAGTGGAAATCAAAACAGGCAAAATGCCTAATAACATTGGACCCACTGTGAATAACATGTTAAAGGATATTGTGGAAAAAAGTAGATACAAGAGAAAAAGAGAAAGGAAAAATGACGGAAGGTTGGTTGCAACGAACAGATATCAATCCAGTAAGCATTGGAAAACCTATGTCGCTGATAATATTATACTGCAAGGCTTGAGATTTAAAATCCAAATACCTATTTGAACATTTTGCTGCTGGTGGCAATCTATTCCACATAATGGCTCCAGCGTGCGTTAGGCGCTTAGCAGAACGAGCAGTGCTAGCAGGTGGGACCACAAGCAAGTTGCTTTGGCCTCCCCGAGTGCGAGTTGAGGGCACGACAGCAAAAAAGGACTCAAACAGGGTGCTACATGCATCATGCAAACATCGCCAGGTGAAACAAAACATATTCAAGTGCACAGAAACCTGTAGATCACATACATGCATTCGATTTAGCAGGGGAGCAGTACCACGGTGGCGACTTGCAGACTGCCCGAGCGGCACGTTTGAACAGCCTATGTAGCCGTTGTTCCTGGGCAACTGTCAAATACGGGTAGTAACTAATCTGCTAATAGAAGCGTACAAAAATTCAGGCAAAACGATAGATCTGAAGTAGGTGAGTCGGCATGGATACGGCAGCGAGGAAGCATGTCGCAGCAGGACAGCAATTTTGCCGGCAACACGACGAGCAACATGGTCCACCATTGTGGTCCAACTCATGTCCGAGTCAAAATGCAGGCCAAGGTATTTGGCAGATGTGACTACTGGTAGGACTTGTGAATTGCATACAACATTGATGTCGAGGGCTGCAGCTCTATGGTGTGGTATGGCGAGTATCTGCGTCTTGGTCTCGTTAAGGATCAGTCCACGTTTCTTCAACCAAGTGGCCAGGTACTGAACTGCTGCAGTGAGGCGCTGGGAGACAACTTCTGGCTGTGGACTGCTCGCACGCAGCGAGATGTCATCAGCAAACTGAATAGTGGTGACGTCATGAGGGGCAAGGTCGCCGGCAATATCCCTCACATACAGAACGAAGAGTAAAGGTCCGAGAACTGACCCTTGAGGAACCCCTGACTGGCTGTCATAAGTTGTACTTCTGGTTTTTCCTGTCTCCACGTATTGCCGGCGATACATCAAGTAGTCTGAAAACCATTGCAAAGCAGTGCTAGTGAGACCCAGTTCAAAGAGGTCCTCAACCAGAATGCTATGCTTTACCTTGTCGAAGGCTTTAGACATGTCGACAAATGCTACTCCTGTGTGCTGCCCAGCGGCTTGTGCTTCATTGATGTTCTCTACAGCTAGCGCTAAGGCATCTGCTGTGGAATGCTGGTGTCTGTAACCAAACTGACTAGTAGGCAAGAAATTGTTCGTGTTGAGGTACTGCAGAAGCTGCTTATGAACAATACGTTCAAGCACTTTCGACACTATCGGCAATAGGGAGACTGGTCGGTAATTCTTGGGTTGGCTGGGGTCTCCAGCCTTGAACAACAATATAACTACTCCCGGGTCGTCATCATCCGCCTCAATCTCACTACGACTGCGGCTCTTCCTCCTTGACTTGTCTTTTTCCGTTCAATGCTTCAGGCCGGGCGTAACCGGTCCGGTTGGTCAGGCTATGCCCGGACCGACTTTTTGCCCACCAACATGTGTTTACTGTTGAGGAGGTCATGTGACTACCCCGCTACATATCATACACAAACTGTATGGAAGTCATGTGTATACCCTCCATATCATACACAAACTGTATGAAAGTCATGTGTATACCCTCCATATCAAACACAAACTGTATGAAAGTCATGTGTATACCCTCCATATCATACACAAACTGTATGAAAGTCATGTGTATACCCTCCATATCATACACAAACTGTATGAAAGTCATGTGACTACCCTCCATAACATACACAAACTGTATGAAAGTCACGTGACTACCCTCCATAACATACACAAACTGTATGAAAGTCATGTGACTACCCTCCATATCATACACAAACTGTATGAAAGTCATGTGTATACCCTCCATATCATACACAAACTGTATGAAAGTCATGTGTATACCCTCCATATCATACACAAACTGTATGAAAGTCATGTGACTACCCTCCATAACATACACAAACTGTATGAAAGTCATGTGACTACCCTCCATATCATACTAGGCCTAGCCCAAATTTGCTCGGGGCGCTTCGATATTTTGCCGGCAAATTTTGCCTGATCACTTTCCATATTTTGCTAGGCATTGCCTTTCGTTTTCGATATTTTGCTCCATTTTGCCCCTGCTTTGTGGCAAGAATGGCTTCGAATGAACCGTCTACTTTGGTAAAAGTGGATGTTGACTCTGATGAGGAAAGCAAAACTTATAATGGTGTCAGTATTACGGATTTTGTAGCATGATTTCAAATTTATGTACCCCTGGCAACCTGCACGAGCTATTTCAGCACGACGTTGGCCCAATGAAACCAAAGAAATTTGAATAAAATTGCCAAAACACACCCGGATCCTCTGTAAAATCGATATTTTGCTCGGAATTTGCCAGCAATTTCTTTTCGTTGGAAAATTCGATATTTTGCTGGAAGAATTGCCGGCAAATTTGGGCTAGGCCTATATCATACACAAACTGTATGAAAGTCATGTGTATACCCTCCATATCATAAACAAACTGTATGAAAGTCATGTGTATACCCTCCATATCATACACAAACTGTATGAAAGTCATGTGTATACCCTCCATATCATACACAAACTGTATGAAAGTCATGTGACTACCCTCCATAACATACACAAACTGTATGAAAGTCATGTGACTACCCTCCATATCATACACAAACTGTATGAAAGTCATGTGACTACCCTCCATATCATACACAAACTGTATCAAAGTCATGTGTGTACCCTCCATATCATACACAAACTGTATGAAATGATAGGGTATGGGCGGGCCAAACACAAACTGCTTCTGCCGGTCCTGTGCTTTGTTGTTGGTGCGACTAGCTCCTCCTGGTCATCATGCCCCCTGGCTGCCTCGACCGTGCCTCCTCCGGCCACTTGTTGTGTCCCAGCTATGTGCTGCATCGATTTCTCTCTCCCGTTTCCATTGCCGCTGCATCCGTGGAGTTGGCTATTGAGCGATCTTCCGGTGGTATCCCGTGCCTGAATGCCGCCACTGTGAAGGACATTGGATGCTGTTCTGCCTGTGTGGCGGTTGAGCCTTGTGTTCCATGCAACACTGCCGACGGCTCAACCACAGACTCTGTATCGGGATGGAGAAAGATACACGTGTATCTGTAGGCAGAGGACATTTTCGAGGCCCTCTCTGCTGCGGTCTGTTAACTCAGCCAATGCTCAAAGTGCCGTCCACGGTCCAGCAAAGTCGGTGCTCAAAGTGTCGTCCAGTGAGGTCAGTGCTTGCTCAGTCGGTGCTAAAATTGTCGTCCAACGAGGTCCGCGCTTGCTTATAGTTAGTGCTCAAAGTGTCATCCAGCGAGGTCCGTGCTCGCTCAGTTCGTGCCCAAAGTGTCGTCCAGCGAGGTCCGTGCTCGCTCAGTCGGTGCTCAGAGTGTCGTCCAACGAGGTCCGTGCTCGACTCCACAGCAGCAGTTCCAGTAGATTGGCGAGGCGCTCCAGCCGAAGGGAAAGTCCCCGTCCGCCCACGCGCTCCGTGCGGATCCGGGCCCGCAGGCGAGCGACGAGCGTTTCCGCGGTTGCGCAATCGTCGAGGCCGGCATGGACGAATGCCGTCAGGAGGTCCAGGGCGATCCTGCTCTGTGCTATCAAGCAGTCACTTCTGGTCGAGCCGCACTGCTTTGCGCTGTACAGGATGCTGTCAACACTCCGAGAACATGCACCCAAGCGTGCCAGCACTTGCTCACTCATCCTGGTGCTTGCCCTATTGTTTATACATTGGTTACGACCAGAGGACTCGCCTGCATGCCTCCTCCTTGCAATGTCCTTCTTGACAGTTTCGCGCTTGTGCTTCAAACGTCGCTGTTTCCATAGTGCCACTGCCACGGAGATCGCTAGGAGGTCATGGTACTGGCGGTGACTGCATTGGAGACCGAGTGCATTGGTTGCTAGTGCGTTCGGGACGGTTGTGTCGTATCCGCAGTCGCTGCAGTGATCTGTCACGGTCTTCAGGGGGACAACGCACGGCATTGTGTTAGTCACGGACGTGAGGCTATCGTGACTGGGACTGGTTGTGCTGGATGTGCTGGATGTGCTGTTGTTGATGCTATTCCAACTGTTGCTGCTGCTGCTCCTGGTTTGTGTGTCATTCGTGACATATACTGTATCGCTACTGCTGACACTGATCTCACTGTTGCTGCTGCTGCTGTTTTGTGTGTCAGTCGTGATACTCATATCGCTACTGCTGCCGCTTTTGCTGGTGCTGTTGCTGCTGTTTTGTGTGTCATTCGTGACACTAATGTCGCTTCTGCTGCCGCTCTCGGTGCTGCTGTTGCTTCTGTTCTCCACACAGCGTCCCGTGTTGATGAGATCGCGCTGTGAACACGTGCCATGGTTCATGGTGGCACGAACACGGGTGTGTTCTGGTGTACTGGAGGCTGCGAGGGAGTGTCCATTGCTTATTGCACCGTTGCCGAGATCTGGGTGTCGTGCACTGTCGACAACGGTGCACTCCGAATTTACGCCATCAACGTTATCGCCGTGCGGTGGCGTCGCGGGCACGGCAACGGACTGTGCGGTGGATGCCGCATCATCTCTGCCGTGCGATCGCGTATCAGGAGCAGATGAATCACCATCAAGATCCTCTGTTTCCAGGATTGGCCCGGTTGTGGTGGTGGTAGTGCGCGGGTCGTGGTGTGGATCCATCAATGAATGTGAGCACAGGCCAATGATACAGGTCAGCCGGTCTACCTGCCCTTCAACATACTTCAAGCAGTTTGCGATTCTCGTCTCTGCGTCGGCCGCTCCAAGGTATGGCAGGACGATGGGAGAGGGCTGCGGCTGCCTGGGGCGTTGCGTGCGCACTTCGCTTCTCTTTCCCGTCGATGCAACGTGGGTGGCTGTGTTGTCTGCTATCGGGTGATCATGCAGGGTAGGCTCCCGGCCATGCTGACGTTCACAATGCTCCGCAGCCTGGCGATCGCTACGTTTCTTTTTCTTCTTGGTTACCATGTGTGGTTTCTGTTGCGGCGTTTGCTGTGCTGGGGTGCCAGTGTGTGCTTTAGCGGACGATTTTCGAATGGAACGGTCCTTGACTTTGCGGCGATAGCGGCAGCTTGGCGGGGTGCCGTCTTTCACACGAGGGTTAACGTCGCCATTGGGCTGTACTGTTTGGGGCGATGTCGACTTAGAACTTGAGGAGGACTTGGTTTGCCTGTGTGATTGGCATGTCTGGGTATCTAAATCCGTCACGGTGCTGGATTTGCGATGCGCCACCGGGAAGTCGTTGAGGCGCGGCTGACGCTGCTTTGCCTTGCGACTACCCGTACGCGGCGCTTCACGAGATGCAGCCTGTTGTCGCGGCGACGGCAGTTCTCTGTTGCGATGCAACCGTAGCCCTGGCAACGATGCACTGGTGTACTCCACCCTGGCGTAACCGCCGGTAGCAGCGGCGCCGCCGCCGCACAATGGCGGGAACGTGCTGGCGTCGTCAAGGAGATTCGCCACGGACGCCACGGCAACCATGGACGCCTGCCCGTCGCTGGAGTACTCCAGGTGCTGGCGGTGAATGCGACGCCACAGCGGTGCGCATTCACGGCCGCTCGCAGCGGCACAGAACTTCACGACAACGTGCACCCAGACGTAGGCACAAGACGACGCCAGCAGATCGAGCACGCTTATCAGGTGTTCGTCCTGAACGTGTCCGCGAGGCACGTCTCCCTCTGTCGTCGACGTTGTGCTGGATCTCACCAGTGACGGCAGCTCCAGTTCGGGCAGCACGAGTCGCGTGACGGCTCGCATTGCATCCTCGACGGTGCGAGGCACTGGCCCGGCGTCCCTTGAGCGGCAACTTTCGTGAAGATCTTTGTCGTCGCATAGCTCGATTGGCGTGGTGACATGCTTGCCATCTTTGTCACTCGCCCCCTGCGGCAGCACCTCCAAGCATGACCTAACGATCATGGCGGTGATGTGAAGAAGAACGCGCACTTCGAACGGCGGCCGTGTCAGCAGGTAGAGAATGGTGCGTCGAAACACCTCCGTGCTCAGACCACTCTCAATCTCCCGATCACGTAGGTACTGCAGTCGACCGGAGAACTCCGCTCGTTCCTGTCCGTGTTCGTCCTGGTCCTCCAGCGCCGCGTCCATGTGCGATATCATTGCCTCGCAGGCGTCCAGCAGAGGTGCCGTGGAGCTGCTGTCGGCAAGGCGACTGAAGCTGTGCTTCGTCTCCACGGTGACGAGCAGCAGGTCGACGAGGCGACGGCGAGTGCTGGGCGTGAGGGCTCCGGCACTCGCGCTGCCGAGCGTGCCGCACGGAACACTGGCGTACAGTCCCTGAACGTGGTGTACGGCCTCGTCCATCGAGAGACTGCCATTGCACAGTGCCTCATGGATCAATACAGTGCATGCGGCAATGGCAGGTGTGAAATTTCCCGTGGCACTGTCCTGGAGTGTTGCCATTGACGACGATGGCGGGGTTCCGTTCGCACCATCATCAATGGCGTGTGTTGGGTCGCAGAGGGCGGTGGCCAGAGGGTGCGTTACCGAATTCATCATCAGATGCACGACGACCTGTTGCAGCAGAGGATGTACCGAGAATGTTGCCCGGAGCAGGGCATTGGCGTTGGCGCGTCTGTGCACGTGACTCGCTCTCCTTGTGTTCTCCGTGCCGAGTGCAGGTTCGGGGTCGGTGGTGGTATTACAAGTAGCCGTTGCCTCTGTGTGGTGTTGCTGTGTAGGGGTTACATCCGTCAAGTTGGTCACGAGAGAATGAGCTGGGATGGTTACCTGCATGGGAAATTTAGTGTGTATACATGCACACGGACATGCACACAGACAGAAACACCCAATGGGCCCATACATGCACACAGACAGACACACGCCCATACAAGAACACACACATGTACACGTGAGTGCAAGTACACACCATACTGACCAACCACCACAATCTCAATCCCTTGACAAGACATGCAGAATCCCTGGATTTCTCAAAAAATCCCTGGATGGCACAACAACTAGTGAAAAATAGCTTTTCCCGCCAAATAAACGTTCGACTCTGCAGATCTGCGTACAGCACAGCTCGACCCTGCTGTGCAGTTAGATCAGTCGGCGCCCGCCTGTCACTTTGTCAGTGCAGATCTTGCAGGCTAAAAAAAAGGAAAATCCTGTATCAGACAAAACTGTGACTTTTCCGGGAGTTTGATTGAAATCCCCGGGACCCCGGGAGTAGTGTTGATTTCCCGGGATTTTCCCGGGAAAACCGGGGGGGGGGGGGGGGGGGGGGGTTGGCCAGTATGACACACATGATTATACACATGCGAGCGCACACATACACACACGTGCACACGTGAGCGTACGCATAACACACACACACACACATTATATAAAACACACGTGCACACATGATCACACGCTCGCGCACGCGCGTGCGTGGACACAAACACACGAATATACACATTTTCACTTTCACGCACACATGATCTAATCTAAACTAGTGGATTCCGGCATGAAGGTTATTTCAGCACTTAGCCCTTATAAGTCCCACACATGACTTAGCTAGATAGATACAGTACTGAGAAAGATGCAGCGACACAGACGGAAAGACATCCGGACATACAGACAGACAGTTCGAGCAAGGGAGTGGAAAGAAGAATAGAGAGGGGGGGGAGAAGGGGGGGGGGGGGGTTGGGAGAGGCTGGTCCACTTACTGTCTTTTCATTGGCACAGCTTGTGATCAGAGAAGCTGACCGTAGGTTACTGAGCAGAGACTCTAGGCGATGTTTCATGTGCGATAAACATTTCTCCTCTAACATCCAGCATTGCTCCGGGACATTTCCACTGGACACGCAGTCGCCAGTCGCATCATGATCATTGAGTATTCCGCTATTGGCTGTGCTGCT